AAACGAAGCCCTGAGTTGATGCGCACATCACCCTGGGCCCCCATTTACAACAGCAAAGGCCTCCTCAAGGCCTCTGCCCCCAAGAACGGAGGCCCGGGTTGACATGCGCGTCACCCCAGCATCTATTTTCACAGCAGAGGCCTTGAGGAGGCACGCTGGCTGAGGAATTCTGGGAGTTGAAGTCCACAAGTCATAAAAGGGCCACATTTGAAGACCCCTGATCTACATCTTTGCAAGGTAAGCATCCACAGGCTCAGTGCCTGTGGAGACCCAGGGTGGGGGTGGGGGAGCGAATAGCCAAGGTGAATGTTGCAGTGCCTCTGCAATCGTTCGTAAGGGCGAACGACTGCCAGGAAGCTGCAACATTCGTAATTCCAGGACTTGTTTGTAAACACTAGGAGGAGCTTATTGTGTAACTTCAAATGTTCGCTAACGGAAATCTCGGAGACCCCCACAATATTCCCACTTCCTCGCCCAGATACCCCAAGTGTGTGTGTCTGTTCTGCGCCCACCGGCATTGTTGATGAGGATATCCAGACGGGGCTCCGATTTTAAGAAGGTCTCTGCAAAAGCTCGCACGGAGTTGAGGTTGGCCAGATCCAGAATCATCAGGATCACCTCCGAGTTCCCACTTTTCTGGAAAAGGAGCAGAAGGAATCCTGAGAAGAATCGGGATCAGGTGCGGCTTCAAAGGCTGCTCCTGGTTTACTCACCTTCTATGTATGTCTGCTCACCGCCTAACAATCACTCTGGGTGGTGTGTCATAAAACACTATAGGCAGCCCTCAACTTACACGCATTCGTTTAGTGACCATTCAAAATTGCAATGCCAAGGATTCTGACAATCAAAGTCAATGGGGGAAGCTGGATTCACTTAACAACCATGTGATTCGCTTAACAACTGCCGTGATTTGCTTAACAACCGTGGCAAAAACGGTTGCAAAATTGGGTCGTAAACTGTGGTCCTAAGTCAAGGACTGCCTGTATATAGCCACCAATCTTACAATCAACTCTGGGCATAACATAAAAACCGTAATAAAACTTTGAAACTGGGAAGAATGCTCGGATAGATATTGGTGACCTGAAGGCCAGCACTGGAGTGGATCTGCAGTGGGAGAACAGGACAGGGTGGATCTCTGTATATGTGCATTGTGAAGACATTACAGGTGTTCATTATTGCTGGAAAGTGAAGCAAGTGGCCATAGCAGTGATGGCGAACCTATGGCACGGATGCCAGAGGTGGCACTCAGAGCCCTCTCTGTGGGCACGCACACCATCGCCCCAGTCCTAGGCCTTCAGCTGGGTTTTATAAAACCTTTTCGCTTTAGGCCTCCGCCACCGTGTGCAAAAAAAAAAAAAGGTTCAATCAGTCAATTTCAACTTACAAAGTTGGAATTGATTGAACTTTTTAGTCCCACCCAGTCTGCCGTTACCACCGCAGCCACGCCCACCCAATGGGCCACTCCCACCCAATTGGCCACACCCAGCCAATGGGCCACACCCACCCGGCACTCGACGATGCATAAGTGGGTTTTGGGTTGCAGTTTGGGCACTCGGTCTCTAAAAGGTTCACCATCACTGGGCCGTAGTGTAAAGAGCCCAGACCTTTTTCCCACCTGCCCAGGAATGTGTAAGTCTGGTAAACAGTAATCATTCTTCTGTCCAGGGGTGAGGAACAGTATATGTACCCTGTATGGGCAGGTCCTTTGATAAGGTTCTATGCGTACCAGATTTAGATCACAATTTGCTGAGTGTGTCTCACTTAGATAGTGAAAGGTATGAAGTAATGTTTGTAAAGTGTACATGCAAGGCCATAAAGAATGACAGGGTGTGTGCACAAGGTTTGAAACTGAACTATTTATATCTTTTGAGCCATAAGGAAGCTGGTGGCAGTGCGCAATCTTTCCTAATGAACCAAAGCACGACGGGTGCGCACATTCGTTACACAGAAGGCTGGGTCATGCAAGCTTTAAACTATTGCAGAAAACGCCTGACTTGGTTGTCGGCTTGAATGTAAAAAATTGTGAATTGTGAATTGGATTGTGCTACTTGCAAAGAGACAAAATCAAAAGTACACCCTGTCAGCAAAAGAAGTGATAGGAAATCTGAAAGAATTTTTCAGTTATTTCATGCGGGTTTAATTGGCCTTCTATCCCATCAATGGGAGGGGCCCAATTTGCTTTGCTAATTGTTGATGGTTACTTTAGATACGGGTTTTGCTATTTACTAAAAAGCAAAACTGAAGTGTTTCAACAGTTTAAACAATGGGTAATTTTTGTAGAGAGGAGGTATAATCAAAGGGTATGTCAGCTACAGACAGACAGAAGAACCGAGTTCATGTCTAACATGTTTCAGCTGAGAAAGAGAGGCAAAACCCAGAGAAAGATGAACCCCTACATTCCGGCAGAGAATGGAGTTGCTGAACGCAGACATGGTGTGTTACAGACTATGAAATACACATTGCTAGAAAGATGCAGGAATGAGTAAAGTATATTGGGGTGGGGCAATTTTAATTCCCAATTATTTAGTTAATAGACTGTGGAGTTCAGTAATTAATCAAGCTCCTTGTTACATGTTATATGGAAGACAACCATATAACTGGACTGTCATGGTTCCTGCTAATGAAACACTTCAAAGAACTTCCAGGCATTGATTTTCCTAAAAGTCTTTTATTATGTTACAAAATGTCGGCACGGCATAACGAAGGGATGCTAAGATCTAAAATCCCCACCCACTGAGCAGTTATTTTGCTAGCATTTCCATATTTTGTTGTCAAGATTTACGTTCTCCAATTAGTGTGAAGGGCAAAGGTTCCCTTCCTTTCTCTTTCGCGGGCTTTTCCCTCCTCCCTCCTTCTCCTCTGCATTAACTCTAAAAATACCAGACAGTTCTGCATATTTTGTCAGAGCAAGAATATACAATATTAGCAGCGTTGACATGGACGTTTTTAAGAAGAGACTGGACAGCCATTTGTCCGAAATGGTGTAGGGCAGTGGAACTAAGGAAAACATAACTAAACTAAGGGGCATATAACTAAAGCAGAATATCAGCGAATAGCGCAAGCCTACAAAGATGAAGTGAGGAAAGCTAAGGCTCAAAATAAACTAAGGCTTGCGACCAAAGTAAAAAATAACAAAAGAAGCTTCTTTCAACATGTAAAAAACAAGACATCACCCTGCCAACAAAAGTGCGTATAGTCAAGGCCATGGTTTTCCCAGTTGCAATGTATGGCTGTGAAAGTTGGACCATAAGAAAGGCTGAGCGCCAAAGAATGGAGGCCTTTGAACTCTGGTACTGGAGAAGACTCCTGCGAGTCCCCTGGACTGCAAGGTGATCCAACCGGTCAGTCCTGGAGGAGATCAACCCTGACTGCTCTTTAGAAGGCCAGATCCTGAAGTTGAAACTCAAGTCCTTTGGCCACCTAATGAGAAGGAAGGACTCACTGGAGAAGGGCCCGATGCTGGGAAAGATGGAGGGCAAGAGAAGAAGGGGACGACAGAGAAGGAGGTGGCTGGATGGAGTCACTGAAGTAGGAGGCGTGAGCTTAAAGGGACTGCAGAAGATGGCAGAGGACAGGAAGGCCTGGAGGAACGTTGTCCATGGGGTCGCGATGGCTCAGACACGACTTCGCAACTAACAACAACAACGAAGTCACAGACTACCTGCATAACATCTATCCCACTGTGACTCTACGGCACCATACTATGGAGATTTTATCATGGTTTCACCGTAACTTAATATTTTACCTCGTCTGTTGTAGTGTCCACCCATCTGAGATACATGTATTTGTTGATGCTTTATTTAAACTTACATTTGCATCTGCCTGTATGGTGTGTTTTATCTGCATTGCATATAAGGAATTGAATGACCTCTGTAGATGCCATATGCTCAATAAATGAATAAAATCCATCAGCAAAACACCTGGGTGCAGAAGAACGGAAGGAAGGAGAGAACCGCACGGCAGACGCTTACCTGTCTAATGTCCCACACAGCCGATTCTCCTCTTGCTTTGTTGCGGCATGCCAAAATGACACGGGCGCCTCTCCGGGCCAGATCCACCGCTGTGGCCTTCCCAACCCCTGCATTTCCACCTAGGAAAGGTCAGAGAAAGGATTCACAGAAATCGCCCAGCCTTTGATGGAGACCCAGGAGCCAAGCCTGCGTTTGCGTGCCTGCAGTTTTTGTGGTGTGTCACACAGTGTTTGTGTGGCAGCGTTTCTCAACTCCGGCAACTTGTCAAGTCCCAGAGTTAAAGTTAAAAACATCTTAAAATTGAGAAACCCTGGTTCAGGGCATGATTTTCACAACTCTTTCAGCGCAGTCTTATATCACCAAGGAAGAATAGCTTAAAATTATTCAGGGGTAATACAGGTAGTAATACACCGTTTATTCAGTGACCATTTGAAGGTAGAATGGCACTGAAAAATGGGACGTGTGGCCAATATTTCAAACATATTCAACCTGTGCTTAACAATTGTGGTGAAAAAGATCATGAAATCAAGCACGATGCACTTAACGACTGCCTTGCTTAACAAGGGAAATTCTGTGCCCCATTGCCGTCGTAAGTCAAGGACTAAGTGTACAGTAACGTTCACAGCAGTTGTTACCGGTTAGTGGGAGGGAAGTTGTTTGTTTTCCACTTCACAGTTTAAATACATTATTTCAATGTAAGAGGTGAAAGACAAAAGGGCCAGATTTTCCTGATTATTTAATTATGAAATTGAAGACCACTTTCAAAGGACTTCAAAAATGATGTTGGAGAAGATGTAAAAATGCTATTAAGGGCAACTGGAAAGAGAAAACCATTCAGAAGTGACTCAGGGGTTTGGACTAGATGACCTCCAAGGTCACTTCCAACATTATTATTATTATTATTATTATTATTATTATTATTATTATTATTATTATTATTATTATTATTATTATTATTATTATTATTATTATTATTATTATTATTATTATGGATCATCGCACAGTCAGCCAGATGTTCAGACTGGATTTGGCATTTTGTCTACCTATCGAGTCCTCACCAAGGACCTGGGATAGGCAGATGTGGATGTTTGATGGTATTACAGATATCGCTGCAGGATGGAAGCAGTTCCTAGTAAGGCCGCCTTTTGCAATTGACTAATGGAGAATTTGTCAATGCCGATGATGGTGTTCAAGTGGTGCTCCAGTTGTTTTGGGATTGCACCCAAGGTGCCTATTACTATTGGTACCACCCTTGCTTGCTTTTGCCAGTCTTTCTATTTCTATTTGTAGGTCTCTGTATTTTGTGATCTTCTCCAGTTCTTTCTCATCTATTCTGCTGTCTCCAGGCACTGCCACGTCCATTATTATTATTATTATTATTATTATTATTATTATTATTATTATTATTATTATTATTATTATTATTATTATTATTATTATTATTATTATTATTATTATTATTATTATTATTATTATTATTATTATTATTGTCCAAACAAGATATCTGTTTCTCAGACAGATAAACGCCAAAGAACGGGATAATATTCAGATTATTTTATTCCTCAGGAATCTCAAACAATATCTTACAGTCAAGAAGAGTTCTTCTGATTAACATATCATAACCTTTCTCCGTTCTTCCGGGTGAGAAATTAATGGTAGACTCACCCCATGGCTCTTATGGGACACATCACCTCGTGTCTGTCTTCACAAAGGCTTCTTTCACAAGCTGGCACATAGCTAGGATATCCTGTGATAAACTTAGTGGCCCCTCCCACTGAC